CAATCCTATAAAAGGACACACCTCTTGGAATAATCTCTATAAAAAGACATACCCATTGGAAAATAATTATATCAAAAGTCATATTTTTTTCATATGAAAGGATGCACATTTTCATCTAAATTGATCATAGAATATTTCATAATATTCTACACAATTTTCTACAATTTCAAATAATTAAATGGCTTAATTCTCATTACTAAATAATGATATCCACTTAAATCATCTCACTTAATTTTATCAAATTAATTGAGGCTATCATCATAGTCAAAGTTAGTATAATTTCAATAAGATCTGAAATTTTAACTAACTAATTTACCATATCATTATCATATTCCAATCAAAGGAGTCATCATGAAAGTTCATATACTTTCATCAAATAATTGACATCCTTATATGTCCAATGGTTAGGAATAATTTCCTTATTTCCATCCATTCATTATTGGACTTGAGTTAGTTTTAACAATATCCAATTCATCATGACCAAAGTGAAGGAATAACAACTTATATTTCAAACATTTATACATCCATTGTATAAATGTATTCCATCTATAGGAATGTCAATGTCTCAAGGGAGTCTGTGCACTTCCATATTATATGAGATGACATTGTAATCTCATCATCACAATATGAATTGCCACTACCACAATTAATTAAATTAAACAATGGTCGGAACTGCACCATGCAATTCCAAAACCAATAGCAACAGTCAACACAGATAAAAATGTTTTCGAAACCCATTGTTATATAAAGAAGGATGGAAGAAATTAAATTTGGTTTGGCAGCCTTCTCCCACTAATGACCATTGGTTTGAGTACAACCATTCATACAAAGAAGTGTCCACATAAGGTAAAACAAGACCAAAGTTATTCATTATCTTGAATCTCGAATATGTTGCATTTTAACAAACCCAAATTAGAGAATATTTTACTATCATTATTCTCTCAATGTATAATTTCATGTAAGCATCTATTCACATGCCATTCACAATATTTTAAGAAAAGGGATAGACATAATGTTTTTGAAAATTAAACTGCCATGGCTTGAAGATGAAAGAACTCAAGCCCTTCATAATTAAATATTTTAAACAAACTGAATTCTTGGAACTCAATCGATACGTGAACGAATAAGACTTAATCAAAATAATACCCAATGGAGCATAACTGTTAAAATGGCATGAATAGTAAATAATTCATGCAATAACAAATTTAAATCTCACACATGCATCGTGCAATTCCATAGTCAAGCATATAAAATAGATTTTATATGTTATCAAGCCACATAATCAAGTCATGTCACTTACTTATCAAACTATAAAATGCACAAAAATAAAATTCATCTTAAGATTGTTGAGGAATACACCGATTATGTACATATTATATACACAAAAAATATACCGTTTATATTCACAAAATCGAAACAAGGTTTCGATTTACTGAAATGGAGTTTGAGAAACTAACCAATGATTATCGAATCTGACCATTTCCATTCTTGAATTAAAACATGTGATTATTCATATCGAACCTTGTATAAATCATATAAATAAAATTAATTATTTTCTAAAATCAAGTAGAAATGAAATTAGAAAAAAATTAGATGTAAGTGATGCGATTGGTCGAGGCGAGTATAACTCTTTCCTTAGGATGAATTTGCCCCGCATCGGTGCTAACGGTTTTTCGACAGCCATCTCCCAAAATACAACGACCACCTCAAGCCATAGGAGCACTCCAAATGATTTCAACCAGCGAACTCGAACGGAATTCCCTCTCTACCAAGGAAATGCATAAAAATGCTATGAAATTAGAAAGGAGAGAATTGCAAGAGGAAAATGAATGTTAAATGCAATTGGTGTACCCAAAATCATGTCCATAGGTAGGGTTGTAAACGAGCCGAGTCGAGCCGGCTCGCGAGCCGAAACTTCCGGCTCGTGCTCGACTCAAGCTTTTTCAATACGGGCTTTTTTGGGCTCGAGCCGAGCCGAGCCGGCTCGACTCAAAAAAAATAAAGCTCGACTCGAGCTTTTGGCTCGGGCATTACCGAGTCGAGCCGGCTCGTGTTTTGATATCTTTTTTTTTTCCTCCTAATTGCTGCCCAACAGGCAGCTTTAATTATAAAGCTGTCGGCAGCCTATTTTTTTTATTTTTTTTTTATTTTTTGTTTTAAATTAAACCGGCCGGCCCGTCAATCCACGGGCCGGCCTGGGCTCGGGCCATTGCCCCTTTTTGGGGCTCGGCCCGAGCTTTGGCTCGGTTGGTCCGAGCCACGAGCCGAGCAACGGGCCGCCCGAGCCACCGAGATTTTTTGACATCCCTATCCATAGGGTCCTATTTATAAATGTAGAAAGGGTGCAAATGAAGTAGTGTGGATCAAAACATGCATCATTTCAAAAAGTTGCATCACTTGTCCAAAACCTACATCCTTTCGAAAAGTTGCAATACTTCATTTCTTCCAATTTTGGTCCGCAATTTATCATTCATTCGGAACTGGTTTCGAGATTCAAATATATCACAACTATTTACTTGACGAGTAGAATAAGTTGGTTTATTTATTTTTGTAATTTGACCATCGGATCAAGTCCGAATATTTGGTTGAAGTTGACACGTAGTCACAGCTTTTCATTTTCCATTTTTACACATCTTTTCATTTTCCAATTTTTGGTTAATTATTTGAACCAATTCTTACAAATACTGAAAAGATGCCCATAAGATTTAAGACTAGACTTGTAGCGAAGGGATTTACACAAAAAGAGGGCATAGACTATAATGAGATTTTTTCTCCTGTAATTAAATATACTACAATTAGAGTTATGCTTGCCCTTATTGCTCATTATGACCTTGAACTTGAATAAATGGACGTGAAAACTATCTTCTTGCATGGTGACCTTGATGAAGTGATTTATAAGAGACAACCACCTGATTTTATTGATGAATCTAAATCTGATCATGTGTGTTTGTTAAAAAGATCATTATATGGCTTAAAGCAATCTCCATGACAATAGTACAAAAGATTTGATAAATTTGTATCTACTATTGGTTTTATAAGAAGTGAATTTAATTATTGTTTTTATTTTAAAAGAAATAATGAAAATGTTATTGTTGCCTTTATACTTCTTTATGTGGATGATATGTTGCCGATTGGTCAGAATATGAATGTTAATCAGATAAAAAGGTCTTTAAGTGCTGAATTTGAAATGATAGACTTAAGACATACAAAGAGAATTTCAGGGATGGAAATCACTAGGAAAAGGCACCATAGTTTACTGAACTTGAAGCAAACTACATATGTGGAAAAAATGTTGAGTGAGTTTGCCATGCATAACTCTAAATCAGTTTCACTTCTCTTGGCTAGCCATTTTAAACTCAGTAAAGAGCAATGTCCTATAAAAGTATCTGACATTAGACAGATGGAAAAAATACCCTATGTTAATGTTGTAGGATCTGTCATGTCCACCATGGTTTGTACTAGGCCTGATGTAGCTCATTCCATTAGCACACTTAGTAGATTTATGGCCAATCCAGGGCTAGAACATTGGGTAGCTTTAAAATAGCTGTTGAGATATTTGAAAGAATCTTCACATCTTGGTTTGACTTTTAGTGCCTGTAATGAAGGTGTTGTATTTAAGGGTTTCGTAGATTCAGTTTTTGCCGGAGATAGAGACAATAAGAAATCTACTATTGCTTATATGTTTACTTTGTGTAATACATGTATTAGTTGAAAATCACAACTTCAACCTATTGTTGCTTTATCTAGTATTAAACTGAGTATGTTGCTGCAACTGAAGCAATAAAAGAAGTCTTATGGCTTAAAGGCTTGTTATCTGAAATAAATGAATTAAGGAATCCTGTTGTTTTATATTCAAACAGTCATAGTGCAATTCACCTGTGTAAGAACCCCGTTTTTCATGAAAGAACCAAACATATTGATGTTGAGTTGCATTTTACTAGAGATGTTATTTCAAAAGAAAGTGTGTTACTAGAAAAAATTACAAATCAGTTTAATCCAGCTGATTTAGGGACTAAGGTAATACCTCTTAACAAGTTTAAGTCCTGTTTACAAATTTTGAACATTGATGCTGATTAAATTTTTAGGTTCTGAATAGGTGCTGAACCTGATGCTTGTTGAAAATACTGGGAAGCTGCATTTTTGGGAATAAAGATATAAATTTTTTCATTTATTAGGATTCTTGTATGACCATTGGTATTAATGTGGAGATCTGTTGAGCCGTAATGCCAAGGTCCTATCCAACATAGACTGTGATGATAAAAAAATGCCCAATATGGAATGAGATGACCAAGCCCAATAATTCAGTCCACTCTTAGTCGCACTGGGACCGTTCGATTAACTCACTGATCAATGGCCGATGATTTTAACTATAAATGAGACCTCTTCCTTTGACCTAAGGAGGAATCATCATTTTACTATCTCTTTTTGTGAGTCGCCTCTTTCTGGAATCTTCAAGAGCTTTGTCTCTATGATTTTTCATCTTCTCTTCGTTAGATTATCTTTGTGATAATCGAGTCCTTGATCTGAAAACTCTCTGTGTGAGTAAACTGTTGTGAATTGTTCTGTCCATTTTCATGTTCCATTGTAGCGACTCTGAAATTGAGATTGTGAGGGTTTATGGTTGAATTCGATGCCTCTATGATGTTCCTTAGAGGTTTATGGTAAATATCAAAACTAGATGCAGTGGTAATAGAATTTTCTGTAAAGTTCTCTATCGTTGGATCTCGAATTAATGCATAGTAAGATTTGGTCCTTATTGTTTCATGTGAATAAAGATTTAACTAGTCTACTATCTAGAGGGTACTAGCTAATTTTACCTAGACTATAGGATAATCCTACTTTCTAGTTATATAATAGCATATTTTTATGTAATTCGAATCATTAGCCCGTTCCTCAATTCAATTAATGCATCAGATTTTTATTCCTCTCTTTCTACCAATTATAGAAAGATAAAAGCAACAGCTTTTATCCATTCAAGAGTCCATGTGACTATCATCAAGTGCAAAAAACTTGAAACTCGAGATATCACACCTTCATATACACCAGATTTCCATACACGAATGGATCTTAAGCCACATTATTACTTCATTGTCTCATAGAGAGAGAGAGAGAGCCAACTTTTCCAGCACAAACTGATAAATTACAACACATATACGTGTATCAAGCACTAAAACCTCGAAGATTTAAAGGAGTCCAATCTGCGGAATCATGGCCGTGGCATGCAACCAAACAAGCTTCTTCCATATCTTCTTCAGAGACGTTGTTGTTGCATATATTTGCAAAAGCTCGCATATGCTTCATCCCGTATTGAGTTAATGGACCACAATGTGTCTCAAACAGACGAACCTACAAATAAAGAAATCCGGCATGTAAGTTTACATCAGTAGAATTTCTGGGAAAAGTGAAAAATAGATTAGTGGTTTTAACGAGAATCTTACCATTGATTTTAAACAATCCCAGTCGTCCACAAGGGGTAAACCACGACCTCGCACAGATTCCAGAATGGAAGGCCCCTTTGCAGGACCAAATAAGACCAATCCGATAAAATTGATGCTCCCATCCAAATGCTTTCTGTGGAGTAATGTGTTTCTGATCTGCTGAAGGGTTTCTGCCTTCTTGTTACTACCAGCCTCCATTTTTTTGTACTGTCGCATGGCAGCATCATATTCAGCACTTTAAACAAGTAAATAATCCTTACTTTCTACATCAATACTAGATGAATACAAGAAGAAATAATTTGACTTTGCTTAATTTTTCATTGTCCAAGTAACAAAGTAGAATATCACATTTGATATATAGTATTTACTGTATAATAAACTAGATTTTAGTTCTCTTTAATATTTTCCATAGCTATACAGTCCTCTTTACCGAAGATATCATACCATAACTGTCTAGCATGATGTACTAGATAAGAATTAACCTTTTCCCACAGGAAGAGAAGGTCAGCGTCTCTCTGGTTAATAACATCCATCTGATGATTGAAGCCAATTCGATTTGAAGGGAGGTTCTCGGTTGCAGGATCAAAACCCTGGTACAAAGAGAGCTTTTCGGGTTTGATGCTTTTATTGCCGTATTCCATCACATGAGATCCAGCATTATAGGTGTTGTAGTTGGATGTCCTATCCTTGACCTGGAAGAAGTTCGCAATTATTACGACTCAGATATAAATGAGCTCCTCGGTTTTGCAGGCTGCTTAAGGATTTCGCATCGAGATTACCTTCTGATACTGCTGCTCCACTGTTTCTTTTTTCAGGTTGTGAGACTCACTGCAAACAAATGGAAGGAAGCTAGCAAATGTGCCAGACTACTTACAACATACACAGCATTGCCAGTACAACAAAATTGCAATCAAAGCCATGATCGTTTTGAAGCTTGCGTAAGTGCCAGTTGAAGTTAATTAAGCCATTCAGGAGATTAAATAATTTTTCATTTTCAATTAGAAAGATTGTGTTCTTCACATTGATACACCAAAGTGAAACTATTCATCAAAAATTCCATTAACAGAAGCTGTTTTGATAAAAGAACAAGTTATTCTTCATAACTCTCTCACACACACACACACACACATATATGAAGCAGAAACTCTGAAGTGCAATTGTTTAACAAAAACTCATTTAAGAAATATCAATATGTTCAAAAATCCACCACTAAGTCATCAAAAACCTAGTAAAATCATTTCACAAACCCTTATTTTGGATATTCAATCTCTAGTAGAACTTAAATTGTCATCAAGAATCCAATTTGATCGATTGGATTGAGCATTTCAAAGTGTGCATTATATAGGAATAAAGGAATCCACAATGCAATAACAGAGAAAGCATACCTATCCTCCAGCCAAGCAACACTATATAGATCTCCCAAGCATGTTATGTACTCTGGAGGAGGCGGAGGATCCATTCCCGGACAATATGTTCCCCAACTGCTCTCATCTGCGCTTGATGCCGTTGTCACATATACGTTCAGATCTTCAGGCAGCAAGCCTTCAAATATACTCCCGCTTTCACATGCTTCAACATATATGACCTAAAAAATACATGGTGGATCCAACTGTTACGGACCAGCTCATAGCCAATTAGGAAAATGCCAAACATCGAGAAAAACCACTCACCATCTCTTTGTAGGTTCCAGAGGCATGCTTCTTTCTTAAAACATCAATGAAATCCTTCCCGTAAAGGTATGGGGTACTTGGCATCCCTGAAACGAAACAAGGCTTTATTAGAATTTCGAAAGTAGAAGTCAACATGATATATCACTAAAGATATGAAATGGGCAAAAATTAAACAGTGCAGGCTTCCTCTTGATCAACTTACCAAGCACTCCAGGACCCCCATGATCAGAGTAATATATAAAGATTCTATCATTAGGTTTACTGTCGACAACCTTTCCACTTCCTCCTTTCACAGCTTTCTTGTCACCAAGGATCACAGCAAAAAAATTCTTTACCGTAATTTCCTCACCAGTATAGTCCTAGATTGTATACATGAATTAACAATCACTTCAAACTGAAATAAGAAGAAATTGAACAAGATAACTTGGTAGTCATGTAATATCATTTGCAAATGCCAAAATAAAATATTTTAATCAATTCATGAGAAAAGTTCTATCAGTAGTATAACGACCTCCGTTAAAGAAAATAAAATTCCCATTTACTTGAACCATCCCAGCATTTTCAATTAGAATGCCGCTAATTTGCTTATTAGAACCTTGGCTCAATGTGAACATTATCTTATTTTCTCTATTACGCCATCACTTGATGCCGTTGACGGTAAAACCCCTCTATCCCCAACAACAAATGTTTTATCTGTCTTTACTTGGCCAAAGCAAGAAAAAAAATTTGAAACTTCAATGGCTTTGAACTTACACGCTAAAATACCAGAAAATAGAAAGTAAGCAAATTTTAACAACTGAAACTTTCAAGACTTCAAATTCTTCTGTCACTTGAGATCTCTATTGTCTCTCATGCACTAACCAACGCCACACGTTTGATCAACAGTAACATCAGATTTAATTTCAATGAGTAGGCTAATATTTTTGTTGATTCAGATTGCCAAACCATGAACATGGGAATGATATCACATGAATCCAAAAGATAATAATAATGTGCCCTCCTTTCTATAGACTATTCAGCCACGCTGAGCTTAAGAATTTTCCTTCTCTTCACTTTTGAGTGATAGAGCATCATCACTTAACTGCATAAAAATTAAGGGTTTTTTTTTTTTTTGGGGGAGAATATATTTTGTAACATTAAAAGGGAAAAGTTTCGGGTTTAAGTGTGAAAATATTTTATTGGGAGAATGTGTACTTGAAAATGAGTTTGCCGGAAAATGTTTCTAAAGAATGAGGCTCTAAATCAATTTGATCGTTCTGTTAGCCTCCCACCATTATTAAATGCAAAATCCATGTCAACACTTAAAAAAACAACAATAATAAGCATGGTAACTGACTATTACACCAAAGTCCATCTCATTCCTTCCAAAAATTACAGAGATTCTCTACAATAATCTCTATTTTGTAACATTTTATTACTACTGATAAGAATGCTGCTAGTGATGTGATGATACTTTACCTTTGGCACTCCGGCATAGACGTCATCGCCTTCGGGATGGTTGATTATAACACCATTTCTTGGGTTCATTTCGTTATCTGCTATGTCATCATACATGAAAACTACAATGTTCTCATCTTTCAAGCCTCCCCTGTTCAAGATTTGATATGCATGACAAACATCCGCCTACATAAGTCCATTTTTAAGTTAATTCAAATAAATTGAATCGCGATTAAAAGGAAACAAGAAAGAGGGACAAAATTAATAGACAAGTATAATAAACTAATAGTTATTTTCCTCTCGTCTACCCTATTGTCTACCCTATTTCGTTCAAAAAAATGGAAAAGAAAAGAAAAATTCAAGCGTCAAGACCTAAGCAATATATGTTAAGAAATTTCACCTGATGGCGGTAATTGCTATACCCACTGGAACCTGCTATAAGAACTGCCCATCTCGTACCATTTTTTTCAGTTCCAGGGTGCTCCACCGGCGACCGGATTATGGGGTCCCAAGGGGTTCGTCGACCAACTCTGGCTTCACAAGACGGTGGCGCCACCAGAATCGACAACAAAGACCCAAAAAACACAAATTCATAAAAACCCATCTATTAAAAGCAGCACCACAATACAAACACAAACAGATGAAGAGTTTAATCTGGAGAGGAAAAAGTGAGAAAAGTAGAGAAAAAAAGGTAAAGCAGCTTATGCAACTGAGTACCTACATTCGTATGTGTACTTCATATACATCTATTAAACAGAGGTGTATTAAGCCATGCAAGACAGGGGAGTGACAACTGTGAAATGGTGGGTCCATATCTCCAATATGATTAACAGGTGGAACTCCGTCGTTTGACTTTTCTTATTTTTAATAATGTTATTTATAGTAAACTGCTGTCATAGTCATTTGATGATGTATCAGTTTGAGACATTAACTTTCCATAACTTTATTGTTTTAAATAACAAGTTAATGTATTAAGAGTTTATTTGATACAGTTAAAAAGTTAATTAAAATTAATTTTTTGATCGTTATTTTATTATTACAATTGTCATTTTTGAATTTTTCTCTCATAAATAAGACCTATCTCTAACGATCAAAAAATTAATTATCAAAATCCATACCAACAACCACTAGGGTTCATTTGATTGCAAAAATGAAATTTGGGTAAAAAGAAAATGAATTTCAAGGAATTGAATTGCCTATAAATTATTTTTCTAATAATTATAAATTATTGTATTTTATTAGTATAATTTTTTACATGAAAAATGTTAAAATAATAGCATTTTTTGTGTTCGTTTGACTTTATTTTATATGAAAATTGTCAATTAAAAGAATATATTTTATTAGTATTGGGGATGAAATTTGTTTCCATTACTAAAAAAATTTATGAAAATCATCCATCTTTAGTGTTTGTTTGGCTTTATTTTATATGAAAATTGTCAATTAAAGGAAAATATTTTTTTATAATAATTCTTAAAATTTGTTTCCATTACCAACCAAAAATAATAATAATGAATAAACGGAAAAAATGCTGTAGTAAATCAGAAAATGAGAATTCAAATGCCTTCAAAACATGAAAAATGTCCATGTGGCATGAAAAATGAATAAACGAAAAAAAAAGCTACAGTAAATCAGAAAATGAGAACTCAAATTCCTTCAAAACATGAAAAATGTCCATGTGGCATGAAAAATGTGGAATTCGTTTTCCTTGAAAAATTTCACCTATCAAACACATGAAAAGTTGGAAAATGGTATTGATTTTTCATTTTCTATGGAAAATGTAAGTCTATCAAACAAGGCCTAAACAAAAAGTTGACTAGTACAGTTGTTAACTATGAATAAGATTTTTTTTTTAGAGCATGTTTGATTGATATAGAAAATATCACCTAAAAAAGAAAATATTTTCTTTATTTTGAGGAAAACAAAAAACTACTTCTCCCAAAAAAAAATATTTTCCTTAAAAAGGAAAAATTAAGCATATTTTCAAAAGTTGAAAAATATTTATAATGGAAAAAAATAGCAATCAAACATTTCAAGTAAGAATTTGGATAGAAAACTGATATTTTTTATGGAAAATAAATGCAATTAAACACACTCTTAATTTCTTTATTGAAGAACTAATTTTTTGGTTTTTTTTTACAAATTATTGATAAGTCTATTTGGTTCGGATGAAAAAAATAACTAAAAATAATAACTAGTTTTAAATACAAATTTTTTATGATATACGTAATTTTTGAATCAAACAGTCTACAAACTTTTATAAAAATTTAATAAAAAATTGATTTTTATGTAAATCAAACAATGTTTTCTGATTGTTCGATAAAAGTTACTAAAACTTTATTAAATTTTTAATTGATCAAACTTTAATTTTAACACACATTGCATGTAACCTACAATTTTACTCAATTGTATAAAATATATATTTCGTCAATTTTTATTTAAAAAAAATTGTAAAAACTTTTATTAAAAGCTTTGTCATGCAGTCTTTAGCATGTGAAATTGATTTTGCTCTCTTACCTTCTCTCTTGTGATGATTTTAGGGTGAAAGTGGAACATACAAGTGATCTACTTGTTTATAACGTGCTGTGCCGTTTCTTTTTGTATGAGAAATAATGATAAGAGGATAGAAATGGGAAAAGGTGAAGAAAAAGAAAGAATTTGTCATGTCATAAGCAGATTTTGGGTGTTGCTTTTGGTTCAAAAATCGTTGCTTTTGGTTCAAAAATCCACAACTTATTGCCAGAATCTGCCAGATTATATAAAGAAAAGTTTGTGAAAATTCAGTTTAAAATGGATAGAGTATTAGAGAATTAACTGCAACAGATTTTTAGCACATTTTAAATTCTTGTAATTAATTGTAATCCCCTAATTCTAGATAGTTTATCCCTGTAATTAGTTCTATTTCCCATATTTTGTAATTCCCTAATTCTAGACTGTTTATCCCTGTAATTAGTTCGAATCTCCATATTCTAGGATAGTTTCCACTTTTGTGTTTTGGGTAATTCAAGGCAATGCCCAAATTTGTGTACATATATTCATTCTCAATCAATGGAAAAGTTAAGCCATTGTTTCTCAATATTCCTCTCTATATTTCAACATGGTATCAAGAGCATAATCTTTTTGGGCTTATTTTTTTTCTAGACAACCACGAAAAAAAAAAAAATTATTCAATGGCTTCTGAAGCGATATCCTCTTCCACCAACGACCCTATCACCATCCAAAACTCCCAGGATCTTCACCATCCCCTCCTTACAATCAATTTCTCCAATATCATCAAATTGTCATCCACCAATTATCTCACATGGAGCCTTCAAATCAAATCACTTCTTGAAGGTTAAGATCTTCATCACTTCATCGATGGCACTCACACTCCACCACCACCCACTGTCACTGTCAATGGTGTTGCATCCCCAAATCTAGCATACACAAACTGGAAGCGTCAAGATCATCTCATCTTTAGCGCTCTCCTTGGTGCTATCTCTGTTTCACTGCAACCGCTTATTGCCCGCACCACCACTTCCCTTGATGCATGGCAAACCTTAGTCCATACCTACGCCAAACCATCCCGTGGTCATATTAATCAATTGAAGGAACAATTAAAGCGGTGTAACAAAGGCTTAAAATCAATTAGTGAATGTATGCAGGCGATAAAGAATCGTGCCGATGAACTCGCTCTTCTGGGGAAGCCAGTTGATGATGAGGATCTTATTGATCGAGTTCTTGAAGGACTTAGTAATGAGTACAAATCTGTCGTTGGTGCAATTAATACCCGTGACACATCAATTTCTTTTGCTGAACTCCATGAGAAACTTCTCAACAAGGAAGCATCTCTTCAGATCGCTCAACCATCTTCTCTATCATTACCTGTAATGACAAATCCCACAGCCTTCCGGAATTGTCCACATTGGCGTCCACCAGCCGTCAATCCACAACAATCAGGCCCTACCACTATGGTTTCTCCTCATGATCAACGCCAACCTAAACCTTATTTGGGTCGTTGCCAAGCATGCGGCATTCAAGGACACACTGCCAAACGATGCCCAATGTTTCGGCTTGTTACTAATCAACAATCCCCGACACCTCGTCCTCAAGGCTCTCATGGATATCGCCCCTCCACACCCTGGCAATCACGAGCCAATCATACTATCCTTGGCAACAACACTACTCCTACTTGGCTGCTGGATAATGGAGCATCTCACCATGTTACATCTGACCTGAGCAATCTCTCTCTTCATAGCCCGTATCAGGGATCTGATGATGTCATGATCGATGATGGATCGGTCCTTCACATCACCCATACCGGTTCTACCACCATACCTACTTCCTCTTGCACCTTTACTTTATAAAACGTCCTTTGTGTCCCTTCCATGAAAAAGAACTTACTTTCGATTTATCAATTTTGCACTAATAACCATGTTTCTATTGAATTCTCATCCTCTGCTTTTTAGGTGAAGGATCTAAACACGGGGGCAATCCTTTTGATGGGAGAACCTAAGGATGGCGTATATGAGTGGCCGACCACATCCCCTTCAGTTACCTCCTCACCATTGCTTGCCTTTTCCAGTGTCAAGACCACTTTGTCTGACTGGCACTCTAGACTAGGTCATCCATCATTTACTATTATGAAAAATATTGTTTCCAAGTTTTCTTTACCATTGTCTAGTCCGTTATCCTCTTTCACAAATTGTAATGCTTGTTCATGTAATAAAAGTCACAAACTTTCTTTTTCTTCTTCTAACTTAACCTCATTCCATCCGCTTGAACTTATATTTTCTGATGTATGGACCTCTCCTGTCTATCCTGTTGATGGTTTTCAATATTATGTTATCTTTGTTGATCATTATACTCTGTACGTCTGGTATTATCCACTTAAACGGAAATCCCATGTGTATGATGTCTTTGTACGCTTCAAGGCATTAGTCAAAAACCAATTTAAACACCGAATTCTTACCCTATATTAATGGTGGTGAATATCGAGTCCTTGATCGTTTTCTCTCCACCAATGGTATATCCCATCTTACTATACCACCTTATACACCTGAACACAATGGTCTTTTCAAACGACGTCATCGCCATATTGTTGAAACAGGTTTATCTCTTCTCACTCATGCATCGATGCCTCTAACTTATTAGACTTATGCCTTTGCTATTGCTGTATATCTCATCAATCGTATGCCCATACCCACACTAAATCTTTCATCTCCTTTTGAAAAACTATTTGAGTCTCAACCCAACTACACTAAACTTCAGGTGTTCGGTTGCTTATGTTATCCGTGGCTTCGTTCTTATTCTCAACATAAACTGGACTCTCGTTCCACTCTTTGTGTTTTTCTTGGTTACTCTTCAACACAAAGTGCCTATATCTGTCTTGATCTGTCCACTTCTAAAATATATATTTCTCGTCATGTTAAATTTCTTAAAAACTCTTTTCCCTTTACCACTCACCAATCCCATCTTTCTCGTCCCACCCCAGAGATCATTTCCAAATGGCTTTCCCAGGTCCAAATTCTACCCTTTTCAAGTGGCTCGCTCAATACGCCTCCACAAAAGGATTTCTCGTGTCAACATCCGTCACGACATGCCCAAACAGTCGACCAACTCTCCTCACCAGTCGATCGTCGACCTCTGTCCATAGACCTCCCTTTACTCAGACACAGATTGGTTGACCGTCAAGAAACCAAGGTTGACCGTTTACCACTAGAACCACATAATTCTGAGACCTCTTCTAC